CCAGGGAAGCCAGGTGATTTAGGGTAGTGATAAGTAAGCATTATTGTTACCTCACCTCTCCTAAGCAGCAGAAGAGCTTGAGGGGGAAAGTGTCAACTGGGATATCCCCAAATCAGTTGACTTTGCTATAATCATGAGTATGCTTGACTTGACCTGGTTGAGACACCTTTCTTCCTCCCCCTACTACCAATGAAGCCATCTGGGAGGACCAGAAAAACAAACCCATCATTGGAAGGGTTGCCTGTCTAAACTAACATTACTTGGCTATCCCTACCCATCCTAGAGAGCAGCGATGTTACTGACCAGTTCTGGAGAACCGGTAGCGGAAATTTTGAGTAGTTCGGAGAACCGGCAAATACTACCTCTGATTAGCATCTATTCTCCGCCTCCCGAGTCCCAGCTGATTGGCTAGGGCTTCTTTTGTTGCCCTGCACAGGAGAACGGAGCTGGAAAGCAGGTTAGTGGGGTGGGGAGGGAATGGGATTTTGCAGTATCCTTCACCTGCCACGCCCACCAAGCCCCGCCCACAGAACCGGTAGTAAAAAAAAACGAAATCCCACCACTGATAGAGAGCCCTTGCATGGCCCAGTGTCTTACAGTAAGAAAGGACTCTTCAGAGTGAAACCTTGAAAGACTACTTGGGGCAGTTTTACCACACATTTTAAGAGTGAGCGTTGAGTGATAAGATAATTGTGTTGCCACTGTGACTGCCCAGATCAGGAGAAAGAGAAACAGGAGACATTTCCTGGTACAGGAGGTGGGACAATGTAGAGAGCCAGATTGAAATGAGCAATAATTACAAGCAATGTACATTTAGGTGTGAAGTAGGTATGCAAAGTAAATATGCGGTGGTGGTAGAAATTCTACCTGGAAAAAGTAAAAGAAATTATGGTTGGCCAGAACTCTGAAGACTGACAATTCTAAAAGCTTATACAAAAATCAAAGTTAATAAATAAATATTTCCCAATTGCTAAAATTAGGGATGCTGAATTTGTAGGGACCAGAAGCAGAAAAATTGGGCTTCCCTGATTCTTAACCATTGGCGAAAAGGGAATGATCCTATTTCTTTCGAACTCAGGTTGGATTTGGTAAAAGTCTAGTGTAACTTTCCAAACTCATTGCAAAAAAATATTTTCTGCACCAGAAAACAATTGTTTGCTTAACTGCTTGAGCTCTTTTGCAACCTACCAATATTTTCTCATTTCTGTTGCAGTCCATTGATTTCCCGAGTGGAAATTCCATTCAACGGGTAGTAAATGCAGAGCTTATTGAGATCTGGGTGGTTGGGGACGGAAGGTTGAACTTCTTTCTCCTCCTTGCATTCCATGGCCATCTTTTATTATCCTCTATTGTTTTTTCTCTGTGGAATGTCCATCAATGGCCCAAGAAAGAAGAGCTTCGGGGGGGAAATCGAAAACAAAAGTATTATATTTTCACTCTGCTCTTGTACTGCTTTCAATGAAAAATATGTCACTTCTGAGCCTTTGAAATATTCCAAATACTGGAAAGTTACTTTGGATGTAGTTCCTTCCCTAAGCAGAGCCTCAGGTAACTATGCAATTAAATATTGTAGCACACATGTAGTGGTCTTTACAACTTCAGTGTAATGCGGCTACCTTTTTCTGTTTGACCACGCAATAGCACTTCATTTGTTGTACCTCCTCCATTTTACACAACCAGACAGCAATTAATTTTAATTCCATGGGTTGTCTCCCTTTCCCAAGGTCATCCTGAAGGTGATTTCACCAGAGCAGGAGTCCCACTGAATCCAGCCCAGGTATATCACCCCACCACATATTTCATAGCTTCTTAATCAAGGAAGATTTAGGGAAACTCCAAACTGGCTCCAGTAAAGCCTCCTGGTTTGGGACCAAATGGAGGACTTACCATACACCGAGATGCCTTTTTTCCTAGACCTGGTTGCTGCCTGAAAGTAATCTGCCTTGTTGCTAAGGCTCAGCGAAAGAAAAGGCTGTGGGGGAAGGTTTTTCTTCCACTGACTTGCTTTTCTCATATCTCTAGGATGGGAGGAAAGTACATTGATGTTGCTGTGCGGATGAACCCGTCGTGTTGGTACATTTCATGGCTGTTCCATATGTTTGGTTGAAAAACCTACTGTGGTCTCATGCATATTTGTAGTCAGGTTACAAAGGGATCTGTAGGGATTCTCAGTCATCCAGGTCATGGTTGTCCCAAAGGTGCTTTTTCAGGAGGGAACTGGACTTTCATGTTTTTCTTTTGAAGATGTTTTGCTTCTCATCCAAGAAGCTTCTTCAGCTCTGGCAGGTTAGTGGGGAATGGAAGGATTTATATTCCTTTCAGATAGCTGGTCATTTGCATCCTTTTAGAGCAGGGGTCTCCAACCTTGGCCACTTTAAGACTTGTGGACTTCAACTCCCAGAATTCCTCAGCCAGCTTTGAAGTCCACAAGTCTTAAAGTGGCCAAGGTTGGAGACCCCTGTTTTAGAGAATCTTTGAAGCACTTGGAGCTTTATCTGTGTCCTTTGAAGAGTTTATATGCCTTATATTTCTTCTGCTTATCTATCTCAGCCTCCTGTCCAATCCTCTCTCCTTTCCTTCTTCCCACTGTCAGTAGCTATGAATACACGCACAGATTATTTGACTAGTTGTGTATACAAAACTTTCATTTTAAAAAAATGTAACCAAAGTTATGGAATTCTGAAGATTATCTGTGCGGAGTTTGCACAAACTTTTCTAAAAAAATGTTTGTTCTGGAAACTTTGAAAGCACACACACACAGCAGGTCCATGCTTGGATACCTGAGTCCAGTCTAAATTAAAACTAAGGGTGAATATAGACAATGCAGCTGAAAACAGCCCATAACAATTTAGAATGCTGGCATTCTGGAGCAAGATTAGGATGCAAGTTCATACAATAGAATCCAAGAATTGTGGAGTTGAAAGGCACTACAATGGTCATCCAACTCTCCGCAATGTACAGGAAAACAATTAAACCAGGGCAAACATCTGTTTTATTGATAAGGTGATGGGAAACCTATGTCAGAACCAAATCCAAGGAAGAAAGCCATTGTTAAATTAACATTAAATAGCGTGACCATAAGAAAGGCTGAGCTCCAAAGAATTGAGGCCTTTGAACTATGGTGCTGGAGAAGACTCCTGCGAGTCCCTTGGACTGCAAGACGATCAAACTGGTCAGTCCTAGAGGAGATCACCCTGACTGCTCTTTAGAAGGCCAGATCCTGAAGATGAATCTCAAATACTTTGGCCACCTAATGAGAAGGAAGGACTCACTGGAGAAGAGCTTAATGCTGGGAATGATTGAGAAGGGGACGACAGAGAATGAGGGGGCTGAATGGAGTCACTGAATCAGTCATGTGAGCTTAAATGGACTCCAGAACAATGGTCTCCAGCCAGTGGTCCCCGAGAAAATTTTGGTGGTCCACAGAGAAATATCACCCCCAAAGCAATTAATCCAGGCTGTGTGGGAACACAAGGCTGCACCACTCAAATGGCCCTTGGGAACACAAGGCTTGCGTCGCTTGCATTGTGAACAACATGAGGTAATGAGGGGAGGGGGGAAAGGGCGGAAGGGGGGAACTTGTCCCACTCGCCTCATGCACCTGGCTTGGCCACCGGGCTGTTTCTTTCCCCTTTTTTCTTCTTCTGCTTTTGGCTGCATGCAAGGAAAACAGCAAAAGTCTTTCTTTCTCTCCCCCAAACCCCGCCAGAAATGAGTCTTGGGGACCCTGCAAGGCATCCTGCTCCAAGAGGCTGTGCCGGTGCAACACGTCTCACACAAACTCATTTCTGGCGGAGTTTGGGGGAGAGAAAGAAAGACTTCTGTTGCTTCTGCTGCTTTCCTTGCATGAAGCCAAAAGTCTCTCTCTCTCTCTCTCCCACTGAGAACGGAGCTGGAAACAATATCCTGCGATCCCAAATAAAGAATGATCGATCGATAGGAAAACGGGGTGGGGAATTTTCCTGCAGACTTTTTTTGGGATTTTCCCAGAGTCTCTGGTCCACGGGAGTTAAAATTATGAGTTTGGTGGTCCCTGAGGTCCAAAAGGTTAGCGACCCCTGCTCCAGAAGATGATAAGAGGACAGGAAGGCCTGGAGGAACATTGTCCATAGAGTTGCGATGGGTCGGACAGGACTTTGCAACTAACAACAAAGGGTGACCAGATTTGGGACACAAAAATCTGACGGCCACTAGATGGCAGCAGGGGAGTGAGGAACATTCTAAATCTCTTGGTTGCCCTTTAATGGTAGTCCGGATCTTGGCAGCCCACCGTAATGAGGGTAACCTAATGAGCCATCAGCACCAAATCCCGAGGGAGCAAAGCTCAATTAAGAAGCTACACAATGGAAGGGATGGTCTTTGCATCTATATGCTGTTTCTCCCCATTCATATTTTGAGGAAGGATGGATACAGAAATGGGCTGGTCACTACAGAACTGGAATAGTCTTAAAACTCCCCAAACCTGACGTGCAGGTTGCATGCTCAAAGATGCGGCAGCCGGACCGAATACAGCTAGTCCTCAACTTACCACAGTTTGCTTATTGACCGTTCAAAGTTACCCTGAAAAAAGTGACCCATTTTTCACACTTACGACCATTGCAACATCCCCGTGATCACGGGATTTACATTCGGACAGCTCAACAACTGACTCACATTTATGACGGCTGCAGTGTCCCGGAGTCCCGTGATCTCCTTTTGCGACCTTCAAACGAGCCAAATCAGTGGGGGAGCCAGATTCACTTAACCACCGTGTCCCTAGCTTAACAACTGCAGGGATTCCCTTAACAAATGTGGCCAGGAAGGTGGCAAAACGGGGCAAATCTCACTTAACAACTTTCCCGCTTAGCAGGCTACATTTTGGGCTCGATTGTGGTCGTAAACCGAGGACTACCTGAACCCCTGGAACGCCCGTAACTCCCTTTAGCCAGCAGGGGGCGCTCCTGACTCTCCACTTCTAGCCGGCCTTCGGGCTTGGGGAGGTGGCGGCTTGCCTTGCCTCGCCTCGGCTTAGCTTGGAATGGGCTGCGGGCGGCCGAGGAGAGACTTGTGAGTTGGCAGCGGTGCATTGTGGGGGGGTGTGGCGAGGTGGGTGCCGCTGCCCAGGGGCGGCTCCTGACTTGAGCGGAGGACGGTCGCAAGTTCTCCTGAACTTCGCCGGCCAGGTAGGTAGCGCTGGCGGGGAAGGGAGGGAGGGAGGGAGGGAGGGAACTGTTGGATGCGCCTTCGGGCACCCTCGAGGACCTTTTCTTAGGATCGCATGTGTTCCGTACCTCCAGCGATCTTCATGCCTTCCTGCAAACGCGGGTTTCTCTGTTCTGCTCCCAGCTCCGAGGCGTTGCTCGAATCCCAACTGGGGTGCAAAAAGAACCCGGACAAAGAATAAATACCCCGAAGCATTCGCTCTGCTTCCCAGAGGCGACCCATCCCTTGGATAACCCCCCCCCCTCCCCCGCTTCCCCTTGCTGCCTTCTTTAGCGATTCCTTCTCTTTCCAGCAACGCTCCCTTTTCTCTTGATCGCTCTCCAAGCATTCCGCCGCTCCACACCTTTTTCCCCAGCTTTCCCTCCCTTCCCTCCTTCCCCTCCCTTCATTCAGCGCCCCTGCTCTCTCTCTCTGCTCGCTTCCGACTTTCTTTTCCCTTCATCTTTTATCATCTGCTCTCATCGGAGTTTGTTTTTCTTCGCCCGCATTGCTCACCCTATTCCTCCCCATCTAGAATATTAAATTCCTTGCGAGGGCGCTTCACACAAAGTAGACGAAGTTGAAAAGTGCCCGGGAGGAAATTGCCAAATTTGGAGACTGGAAGAAGAGAAGGCAAGTATTCTACCTTTTGAAAGAAGAAGGAAAAAAAAATCCGATTTGGTGTGTTCCCTCCATTCACCCCATCTGCGTTAGGGTCTGTTGTTTGGGTGGGAATGTGCTTGCAAGTTTGTCTGCAATTGTTATCCTGAGCTGACTACAAAACTGTATGATAAAAATCACGTACTGTAACTGCCTGAGGAACATTCACCTCAATTGTGATTCTGTGAAATGTACTGTACAAGGAAGGATTACTGGTGTGGTTTGTTTGTTTTTTAAACTGGATAGAAGAGGAGAGATTAATTTGCAAAAAGGATTCTTCTTAAGGATTTAAAAGTAGATTGAGTTATCCCCAAAGAAATGCAGATTGCATTTCCCATACAAGAGAGATCCACTCTTCAGATATGAGGAGGTCTACTCAATCGGTAGTTGGTGTTTTCAGGCCTGTTGAAACTTGTTAGCACCATGGCTAACATTAGCCACAGCAATGCTTCTTTTTCTCTCAACAAAACAAGAAGGAAAGTAGGGAACAAATGGGGGTTGGGGTGGGGGGTGGAATGGTATTCTTGATAGAGGGAGAGAGAAGTGTGGAGGTGAATTCTTTGGCTTGGCCAAATCTTCTCCCCTCTTGCTGGCCTTGGGGTTATATCAAATCTGCAACTCCAGAAAGTCCAGCATGAATACACAGACAAGCTGGTCTTTCCACTTGCAGCACAGAGGGAGCATGCCAGGTGGCTGTGCCAGGGTGGTTATAGTATCCTGTTGAAGAATGACAGTAGTTGGCTGTAGTTCAGTTTTGCCAGTAAAAAGCAAAAGAAAGAAAAAAAGTTTTGCCATCACAACCCAGAACAGAGATAGCCTTTTGCGTTGCAAAGTCCCAACCATCATAAAGCTTCTTCACAGGGTGTATGAAGAAGTTGCATTCATCTCTACACTGAATGGACAATCCTGCTTTATAATTTTTTTTTTAAATGAAAAATAAATGATTTAAGATGCTGTCCCCTACCTGACCTTAGCTGGGTGACACTGGTCCTGGAATCCAGGTCACAACTGGGCTTTCGCACCCTCTTCTGCACATCAGCTGTTTTACATGCAAACCTACTGTTACTATGAAACATTATTTTTATATTAGATGTATTAAGTCAGAGGTGTCAAACTCAAGGCCAGCAGGCCAGATCTGGCCGTGGGATGCTTAGATCTGGCCTGCAAGACCGGTTCACAGGGCCTCTGCCAGCAAAAGCAGAGCTTGGCTCAGTTTTTGGCCAAGACGGCTTCCTGCAGCCCCCTGACACTGAAAACGGAGCTTGGGAGGGCCGCGCGCAGATGTCCCAAACTCCATTTTTGGCCAAGCTCTGTTTTCACTGGCAGAGGGCTGCAAGAGGCTGTCGCAGCCGAAAATGAAGCTCAGGAGCCTGTTTTTGTTGGCAGAGCGCTCAGGCCACCACCGGTGCCCCCAAAACGAGTGATGTCAAGCTGGCCATGCCCCCCGCTGGTCCCCGAGGTCAAACACAACCCTGATATGTCCCTCAATGAAATCAAGTTTGACAACCTTGTATTAAGTGGTCCAAAAACTTATCTTCTAGGTGTTTCTTTCCTTTGCCAAACTGCACAAGCCTAAATATAAGGTATTTTTAAAAAAATACCAACCAAGGAGAGGACAATTGGGAGAGTAGGTGAGCAATCTGGAAAAACTGCCACACCCACTCACCCTTTGTTTAAATTTAGGGAGAAGCCCTGCTTCCATTCCCCCTTCTTTCTCCCCTCCTCCCATTCTGCTGGATTCACGCACATTGCCTTGACATGGAATGTCATTTGTTTGGCTTTGGCTTAGTGCATGAGCCCAACTTTTCTGGTTGGTAAAACTTTGGCTTATGCGGCTTAGTGCAATAATAGTGTGCAATAACGGACCTAGCAAATTTGGGTTATTTATTTTATAAACCAAAGGCAGCTGACAACACCAACCAAACCAATAAAATAAAATAAATGTAGTAATAACTAAATCCAATCAATGCCAAAACCAACCATCCAGAGCCAAGCTAAAACCCAAGACAGTTGCCTGCAGTCATTCAGCTGGGACCAACCGGTTTGACTTAAACCTATTTAGGAAGTTTTAGCAAAGTGCGGGCTGTATAGGCCTCTGGGGAAGAATGTCATAAAGTGGGAGCTATTTAGAATGGGAACCGCTTCAGGCAGGCTCATGAGGGGTTGGGCTGTTGCTTAGAGGCAGCATCTGTTCCTGGGCACTCAGGTGTAATACGATTTGTGATGTTTTCTGAGGGTGAACAATTGTGCAGCTGCCTTGTGTGTGTGTGTGAGGTGGGTGTCTGCTATTGACCAGGAACAAGTCCCAGACAAACTCTGCTATATAATTACACAGCTATTACACTAACAGTGGTGTGTTTTTTTTTGGTTGCTGGTCTTTCCAAAGGCATGTGAAGTTATAGGGGAAGGGAAGGGGCAAAACGGCCATCTTGCTACTCTACCTTCCCTCCAAAAGTGTTTGCATAGTTAAGCAGGGGTGGATAGGGCTGATGCCAAAGAAGTGTGGATTTCACAAGATTCTAACTCCAAGCATTATTATTCTCTTTCTCCCCCCGCCCTCCTCCCCTCACCCAGAGCAGTGGGTGAGGAATTGGTGCCTGTATTTACTATCTACCCGCAAAGTGGACATAATAATGTCTACTCAAATCGTATAACAAACATAGTGACACCCTTCCCTCCCTGCTGTTCGTTGTTCTTTCCTCCCTCTTTGAGATGGCTCTGGGTCTGGAGTGGCAGAGTTAAATTTCAGCCCCACCAGAGGATCTGATTTTAGGGGTTGCCCTCTGTCTGCTGATGCCAGTTACACACGCTCCTTCTCAGCAAGGAAGGATGTGCCTCAGTCCTAACTCTCAGTCCCAGGCACTTGTTGGAGACGCAGTTCTGGTGTTCAGCTGCCTTCCGGCTTCAAACCCACTTGCTGCTGCATGTGAGGAATTATCAGAGGCCGCCCACCGTTTTTTTTAATGGTGTGGGTGTTTAGTGACGTTGGGTGGTGGGTTGGGTTCGCCACTGTATCACCTGGTGCCGAGCAGAGCAGCCTGTAGAAAGGCAGTGGCAGCAGCACCAAGCACCTTCCAGGTGGAGGGAGAACCTGCTTTCCCACTCAAGGAACAGGTGTGTGCCCAGTGCCTGCGGCTGTTGTAAGTAAGGGATGCTGGTTGAGATGCTGGTGTGTGTGTGTGTGTGTGTGTGTGTGTATGTGCTATGTTTGTATGTGGAAGAGAACTAAAATGGGCAAAGATCTCAAGGGCTCTTTGAGGGGATTGTGTACCTTTGAGCTCAGTCAAGCAATTGCTATGTGCCCTAAAATCTGATGTGCCTGGAGTCAGGAGACAGAGCATTCTGGGGCAGGTAACCAGCTTCGGCCCCTATTCTCCCCCCCCCCCCTTAACATTCTGACTTGCTTTGACCTTCTTTCAGTCCTTTGTGTATTTTCCTCTCCTGGCTCCTAAAAACTCCGATTGCCTGCTGGATTGTGTGTTTCTCTGCCCTTTGAGACAGCATTCTTTCCTATGCATTCATGTGGGTGAGGATGCGCCTGGACATGGATGCGCCTTGGTGTGCTGGGCTGAGAGTGGGGGCTGCCCTTCTTTCCTACTCTTTTGGGCCAAGCTCTGGGAGGCCTCAAGAGTTAAGCCGACTAGCCCTGAACTCCTTCAGTTAGAGTCTTTCAGACTCTGGACTCTTATCAGGGGTGGCGCTATCTCTGCCCCCCCCCTCCCCACCCTGAGCCAACAAAGGGGGCATTCAGCAGCACGTAGATAGATTGGCATAGTTCTCCCCACGCCTGCTTCCCGCTGTGGGGGTGGCTGAGCTGGGTGCCCGCCAAGGAACTGCAGCTTCTCGCTGACCTTGACACCTTTTCAAGCTCTCTTTCTTCTAAGTGAGGGAGGCCTCGGGGCAGATGTAGCACAGAATCTACGGGGAAGTATCTGCAGTAGCAGGAGAGGCCGTGTAACTCAGGCCACCCTAGATGAAGGAAGAAGACCTTCCCAAATCCTCTTCCACACATAGGGTTGACTCCTGTTGGACTCCTAGCCCTTCCCCTCCCCTCTCTTGCCCAAATGTCCAGTCCTTTTCCCTGTTTCAGCCAAATCTCCCAGATTGTTTCAGCTTCCTTGAAGCCAGTGATAGGGTTGCCTGGGAATGGTTAGATGTGGGAGGGGAGACAATATTGGCGGAGAGAGGCAGATAAAAGGGCTGCTTCCAAGGACCGAGGGGGAAATCAGATCTGGAGTAGTTTGGATTGTGGGTGGTGGGTGGTCAGACTCTCAAAGGCATGTTCAGTCAAGTCTAGCCCCTTTCACGCACCCACCAGCCAATGGTGGACTAATGCAATTGCCTGATGTGGCAGCATGTTATTGGCATCGGAGTAGGAATCAGCAAGGCTTTGATCCCCGGGAGCCGGTCTGCAGAGCTCCGTTGATAATCTGCCTAGGGAAGTTCAAACACTGGGGAGGCCTAGAGCATGCGACGTCTAGCATTACTTCTTTGCACCAGTAGAAGCCAGAGAAATTTGGAAGTCAAATTCCAAATTGGGAGGATAAGGGTGTCCCGGTCTTCTGCGCGCCTCAGCCGGCTTAATCTTTTTGCTGATTGCAAAGTCTCTGGTCAGTCTTGGGCTGCTGAATGAGGTTTTCTTCCACAGACTTAAAAAACCAAAGAACAAAATATCAGCCTCCTTGCCAAAGTGAAAAAAGGGTCTCTCGATGCTATCAAATCAGGCATCTCTCTATTTGCCCCCCCCTCCAATTGATCAACAACTCCATACAAACAAATCACAAAGGATTCTTCTGTTCTCTGTTGAAGAGCTCAACTCAACCCATGTCCTGACCTGTCCTCTTGCTGCTCCTCACAGTCTTCCACTCAGCTGATATCCCAGCAGGCAATAAGTGCTTTCTTTCTCCAAACTCCAGCAAGGGCCTTCATTCTGTGCTTCCAGACGCTGCTTTTACCCCCACCCCATTCCATTTTCTCTGGGTTGTCAGTGCCATGTATCAGAGCTGTGAGCGCTCTGTGTCAATGGGATAATGGATCCTTTAGCCCCGTGTGGCTCTGTTGATGGCACAGTCAAGATGGGAACAGTGGAGACTTTGATCGGGGAGGGTTATCACAGCAGCCATTGATGCAGCCTTGAAGCACCACGGCAAACCTCCTTTCCATGTCGCTGGCACCCTGTCTTATCTCGTTCCTCCTCCACTAGGGATGCCTGTGGAGTCCTGCTGCTTGACCCTACCATGTGGGAGCTGAAATGTCTCCAGCACAGCCGGTCGGTAAGCATTGGAAGGGTATGGATGTGAAATGGTCTAAAGGGGAGATTTAAGAGGGCGATTGGGAGCCCTCTGGGGTGTAGAAATCCCTGGGTTCTATCTCTGGGACTAGCTGTATGCAGGTGGCAAGTTGAAGTTGACTCTGCAAAATGCCGTTTATGAGGGATGACTTTTTCTTCTGGGTCATTACTTGAAAGTAATCACTACCCGTAGCAAGGCTTTGACTCAGGTTCTTCTGCTACGCCAACCCAAATATATTTGAATATTGGGAACAAGACTCCTGAATTCTTCACGAATGGATAGATGGATGGATGGATGGATGGTTGATGGATAGATGGATACATGGATAGATACATGGATTGTGTGTGTGTGCATGTAGAGCTTCCTTTGTCTCTAGCAGCTCCACCCCCCTGTGTCATTGTCTTCTGTGAGGGCCTTTCAGCTTTCTCCTGGGATTTTGGAATGTTGCTACATTTACTCTCTTCACTTCCTTCCAGCTGTTGCCAGCAGGGAAGGGGTGAGGGAAGAGTTATTATAAACTCCAGTAGTCCCTGGCTTCCTGCCCCCCCTGCAGTGGGGGGAGGGGGGAGATGAAACGGGTTAGGGGAGGGGAGAAGGGAAGACAGATGGCTTGATTTCCAGCCCAGATGTTGAATAAGTGGGTCCTCTTCCCTTCCCTGCTTTAGTAAGCAGATGGCTCCATTTTTCTAGGCCATTTGAAAGGGCAATAAGAGTATGTGCGAAGTAAGGCTGGGAATTCCACTACTGGAGGAAAGAGGGAGGAAAACAAATCACTTTTCCACTTGTGTGTTTAGACAACAGCCTGGAACAGAGGAACAATCAGACTACAGTCAGTGGGGAGAGGCTCCCCACCAAATGCTCTCTTCTTGACAGCATCCTTCTGTCTGATTTGCAAGAAAAAGCCAGGGAGATTTGGTCTGAAGTACTGGGTTGTTGTTGTTTTTTGCACATTCGTGTTCCCATATTGCCACTTCATACTGTACTGCCGTCATGACAAAGCTTGCCTTGCCTATCCTGGCCCCAGCTGAGGTTGTGAAACATCTGGGATTAGATTTAGTTTCCAGGGTTTTGTTTTGTTTTTTTAATCTCCCCACCCCCCACCCCCCCATTGATTTGCCTCTGGAGGCCCTTTGTCTACAAAGAAATAAGAGAGAGCAAATGCTTAACTCCAATTATCACGTGCAGCAGCAGCAGCAGCAGCAGCAATCCAAGAAGAATCTGAGGTCCTTCCCATTACGTACTTCTTTTTCCCCCTCCGTGGCTCCTCTCTGTGTCCTTGTTTGTGGCTGTGCCTCTGACCTCCCTGATGGAGGGAGATCAAGGGACTCTTAATCACCTTCCCTGTTGCTAGATCCCAACTGGAATCTGAAGGGTTGGGAGGGAAGCCCCATCCTTTGCTTTTCCTGTAGCCCAGCAGGGCGAAGCCTTTGGTTTCTGGGTGACAAAAGGTCTGGGGAAGATGTGTGAGGGTCTAGGGAAGGTGAGGACAGAGAATGGTGGAAAGAAAGGCAGGATCTGGGGCCTGGGTGATGCAGAAGCCTTGTGGCATTTGGCCTCCACTTCAGGTAGTAAAATAACAAGATTATAGATGGCTGTAACAGAGGGAGTCTCTCCTTGGGAAGGTGAGGCAGATGAATGGTGGTATCCCTGCTTCTCCTCCTTCTGCTTCTGTTGCTGCTGTTTCTTCTTCTTGACACTGAATTGGGAATCCGCGATTTATGCCTTTACCTGATTGATGCCTTTACGTCATGTAAGCGGGGATACAGTATTGATTTTCTAGCGATTTTCTAAGCTGCTCTGAACGTAGCTCGCCCTCATGCATATGCTACACAATTACCCGCCTTTACAGCAACTTAATCCGGCCTAAAGCTCCCCAAGTTCCCAACGCCTACCTACGAACAGCAATCAGAATCCCGGTTCCCCTTGCAAGTATTTAGCTGACCGAGTGGAAAGAAAACTTCCTTTGTCTCTTTGAAATGTCATCAAATTGGCAGGGTGTCTCTTCGGCGCGCAAGTTAATCTGGTTTTACCAGCCTGTTAGGGGAGGAAGGACAGGGTTGTCCACACGGAGCGTTTTTTAAAAAAAATTGTCAGCAGGATTTCACCGCCCCGCGAGTGAGGAGCTACAATGCATGCAAAATCCAGATCTGTGATAGTTTTTGGCACACAGTGCAGACCCTACTGAGGAAGGGAAAAAAATATGGAGGAGACATTATTCCTGAGGCAAAAAAAAAAAAAAAAAAAAGATCCTCTTGGGATTAACTTCTCAGTCTGTCTAGTCTGGTGATTCCCGAGTGATAGACTGAGCCACAATTAAGTACGGTTGGAAGATTGGCGAGTTGCAAGATGCATATGCACTTATAAATGACAAAGGCACCCTCAGGGTTAGCAAGGGGAGTCAGAATGACACAAGGAGTGTTGTGGTGTCTTGGGGAAAGCCCTATTCTTTCTCGCACATGCTCCCAAAGGGCGGAGTTTGTGGTGTGACGTTGCTTTTGTCGGCGAAGGCCTGGAGACCCCCCTGAAAGGGCCCTGCAGTTTCTGCAATCAGATGAGATTGACTGTTGTGTCTCTGCTAGATTTTCTGGAACAGGCTCATTCCACCCTCATTTTCTAAATTAGGATGGTCCGTTACGTGGGTAGGACAGGGTCACAATTTAATCATCTCCACATTGAGAAGGCTGCTGGTTGTGTGCCCGTGTGAATCAATGCTTGTATGTACCTCAGCAAATAAGAAAATTGCTTCAATAACAACTCAACACAGGAACACAACTGAGGAAGAAATCTACTATGAGATGAGTAATGTTTATCACAGTAGGGCTGGAATAGAGCATGTGATTAGATTACCACCACACACTAGAGTTTGGTTATTTTATCATTCTAAGTTTGGGCATCTTACAACCATAAACCAACCAATCTAGCTAAAGAATTCCCAAGTTAATTGACGTGGCTGAACCTGGGCAAACACAGCTGGACTTGAAGAATTTAAAATAAGCGATTGGAGTGCAGCAAAAGTGTCCACGGAGTCAGCAACTTGTTTATGTTGTTAATTTTGGACTCTGAATATTGAATCTGAATATTGAAAGCGTATGTGGCTTGGACTTGGATATTTAATTCTCCCCTTTCATGATTCTGGTATGTATTTGTTGTGGCCAGAGCTGGTTGCAGAGATGGAGGACATGTCAACTGCTTTGATTTATTAAGGGATTGTGATGTCTCAGTCAGCCTTTCCCCTTTTCAGATTTTTTTTTTAAATGCCCATTTGGTGGCCGATTTGATAGTGGTGATGAGAGAGAGAAATGAATCATAGCCTGTAGTACTTCAGTCCTCTATGACCAAAACTATTTATCCACTCGTTAATCTGCTACTGTGCCCTTTTGCCTTTTTGCTGCAGAAGGAGCTTTTTAGGAGGCAAGTAGCTTTTGGTAATCCAGACTGCAGAGTTTTGAAGCATATGCATTTGGAATGAACCTGGACCTGTAGAGATGAAAAGAGGAATAGTGGCAACCATGTGGGCATCCTTTGTGCCTTTGGGAAAGTGCAAGTGGTCCTCCCGGGTCAGATTAGAACTGTCCTGATCTCTTTGGACCTATTGGCTATAGATTGTGGGAAGTGAAATGGAATACAGCTGAATCACCCAAGGATTGGGAAGGCTGCTTTAGGATGTTTGTGTTAATTGTTGCTCATTCCTTTTCTCCCTTCTGTCTAGGATTTGGCCATGATCCTAGGCCGCCTGTTGCTGCCCCTAATGGTTACACTGATGCTCCTGTTGCCGTTGTACCCAGCTGCTGCTCAACTCTCTTCCTACCCATTATTTGTGGTTCCCAACGGTACATTCAATCATTTGGCTCAAGCCCAGAACACAGGGGGACTGTATGTGGGGGCCGTCAATGCCTTGTATCAGCTGGACTCTGAGCTGAGGCTTCTAGGACATGCCCCCACAGGGCCAAACCAAGATAGTCCCGAGTGTCTCCCTTTCCGCGATGTCCGTGAGTGTCCGCAGGCCCAACTGATGGACAACTCCAACAAGCTCCTCTTACCCAATGAACATGCTGGTGAGCTAGTGGTGTGTGGGCAGCTGTTCCAAGGAGTATGTGAGAAGCGAGCTCTGACGGACATCACCAAAGTGTTGTACCATCCTGAGGATCCAGGAGACAACCAGTTTGTGGCAGCCAATGAGCCAAAGGTTTCAACAGTTGGTTTGGTGGGGCAACACAATGGCCGGGACTTACTCTTTGTGGGTCGCGGACTGACTGCAAAGCTCTCTGGAGGGATCCCACCGTTTACCATCCGCCAGTTGGAAGGACCGCAGGCCTTCTCCAATGAGGGAATGGGGAAACTGGTTGTGGGTGATTTCTCAGACTACAACAACAGCTACGTGGGTGCCTTTGCTTCTGATGGCTATGTCTACTTCCTGTTCTTTCGGCGTGGAGCAAAGGCACAGCTGGAATATCGTACCTACCTTTCCCGGACCTGCGTAGATGACACCAACCTCTATTCCTACGTGGAGTTGCCTCTCGAATGCCAACATAGTCAGGGGCAAGCTTACAACCTGGCTCAGGCTATGCATCTGGCACCTGGTTTGGTTGGAAAAGACAAAACCCTCTTTGTTGTTTTAGCTGCTGGGCAGGGTTCCACTGCAGTTCCAACTGGGCGGACTGCACTGTGTTCCTACAGCTTGAGTGCAATTAATGCAGCGATGGAGAAGACGCGGCAGCTGTGCTATACCACATCTGGAATAGGTGACAACAATGAAGAGGAGGCTGCCATTGAATACGGAGTGACCTCTCGTTGCAGCTCTTTATCCAAAGTGAGTGGCAGGACAGGGATGACTCTAGGGGGTAGTGGATCAGTTGCTCCACCCCAAGGTGGCTGTCTTCCAACCTTTTTGTTTTTCGTGTTATTCATTTCCAGGAGTCCCCAGAGATTTACCCCTGTGGGGATGAACACACGCCTAGCCCCATTGCTAGCCGGAAGCCATTGGTGGCTGAGGCACTCCTGACTACCGTGCCAAGATTGACAGCTGTGGCTGCCATGGTAGAAACTGGCCATACCATCGTCTTCCTGGGAGATGGTGTTGGGCAGCTGCACAAGGTGGGTGCAGTAGTGGTAATGTTAGCTATGTCCGTCCTTTTCCAGCCTGGTTCCTCCAGATCTATGAAAAAATAACATTCAGTTTGTCCAATCTATCTGAAGGACAAAGGATGACAAAGGCTATTAAATTTTAGGAGGAGGTGATGTTGGAGTAGAGGAGCTGGAGCAGTGGGAGTTGCCTCTCCACTTCTAATTCATTCGCTGGCAAAGCAGCGTGTCCAGAAAGAGGTGGGGGGGATACTGCACTTTGGTTCAGTTTTGGGGGAAAGGCACTTACCAAATATCTAAAAGCTGTGCATGAATTTTTATTCTCTTTTAATTAATCCTTGCAGTAGAGATCATGTCATGGTAAGGTAATATATAAAGCTGTTCATTGTTTACTGAGCTGGGGCCCTCCAGTTGTGTTGAATTACAATTTCTGTCATTCCAGGCAATATTAGACTAAAAGGCACCTGTGTCAAAAAGAGGGGATGAAACTTTAGTCCCAGAAAGGACCACATTTAGGTAGCTTGGATTCCTAACATTGTTAGGCAGATGTGCAGAAATAGCTTTTGACTCACGTTCTTATTTATTCCAAACCATCCTGGCTTTCAAGCACCAATACACATTGGTGTATTTCTTAGGCTGGCAAGCCTTTATGAATAATTATTTAGTAGAAATATTTATTCTATTAAATCTACTAGGATAGAGTTACTAAATTTCATAATTCAGGATTGGTCACGTGATGTAATCATTATCGAGTTGTTTTTCTCTACCTTCTTCAAGTAACAAAATGTATGAAATGTGTATGATTGTAGATGAGGCCTTTTTTAATTGAGAAGTCCATGTTTGTGATATTTTAAAGTCAGATGGGGAGGCACAATGGGAAATCCAATATCTCAAGGACAAGATACAGCATCCTTCTTGCTTTCTTTGTTCTTCTCATTGGTTATAGAAGTAACCCTGTACAGCTTAACTAAATCCACACGGACAACAAATTCAATTACACCACCTTTGCTACCTGCAGAATTCAGCTTTTCTGAATGAGAAACGAGGCTTGTTTTGAAACAAAACTGAACTTTCGGTTTTAGGTATCACAAGGATTGCTTGGTCAGGAATGTTTTCCCTCCCTCTGTGACTCAACTTTCTGTAAATTAATGACCAGTAATGTCTTCTACATGCAAGGTTGATTTGGCTCAACCTCTTGTGGAGCAAGATTTGGTCTGATTCGTTTTAATTGTATGTTTCAAAATATTTTAAATTGCAAGTTTCACGTGTGCTGTGCCAGCACTATTTGAAGGCAGACAGTCTCCTTTTCAGACTGGGTCTGAAATTTATGATTGAGCTGCAATTAAGGCTATTGTGCTACTATGTTAGAAAGGTGGTTTACATTTGTAGTACTTTCACTTAGATATACTCCCTTGTACCAGCATTAACATCATCTATCTATTGGTGGAGAGCAACTATGCTGTATCTATAAAGCATGCTGGGAACCATACTCCCAAAAGTTTGGGAAGAGTCATAACAAAGAAGTGTACGGAGACAACCCCAGAGAAATGGATGGATATGATTTGCTCCCATACTTTTCCCTTTCATTTTAAAAACAATACTTTGTCAGCAATTTTAGAGAAACTCTACCATTAGGGATTGGGGCGTATAAATTGTGTACACTGCAGCAAGTCATGCTTTATAATAACAACAGCTAAAATTATTTACCATTTATTAATGATACTGCTGATTTCTTTTTTTTATATATAAATTTTATTTGGGTTTTCACAAAAATATAATACAAATAAAACATCTTTTTTGAGAATAGCATGATCCCGGGTTATCACTTCTTCATACAGACACAAACTCAATTTCATATTCATCTTTGTGTTCTATTCCATATCTTATTACTAGTTTAACATTTTCTCCATAATTTTCCCCTCCCTTGGTTTTCTCAACTTTATTTTTAATTGGCTCATATCTAAATTCAATTATATATCTTTTTCTAAGTTTCAATGTCTTTCCAATCATTATATTTATACTTTTGTCTGTCCTGTTTCAATTTCATATTATCTTTTCTCATTAAACAAATTTTCCCCTATAGTTACTAATTGGAGTATGATACCTTTATATCTTTTAATTTTATCCATTCAACTCTTATTTAAGGTTCAATTTATGCCTTTAAAATTATAACATTCAATATAGTACATAACTTCCAAGCGAATTCTGCTTGGTACATTCTTAAAATACACACTATGTTCTTAAAAAAATATAACAATAGTAAATAAAACACTCATTCCATTCCAATTCAATTCTATCTTTAATATTAGTTAGAATCATAACATCTTTAACATTTCTTTTCAATTGAATATCATACTTCCTTGTGAACACTTATAAACTTTCCATAATTAATTATTTTTTTCCCATATTTCTCTTCACTTATATTTTTATAAATCATTAATAATTAAAATGTCCCCATCCTTTCCTAATTTCATTCTCATTCACTTTATTTCATTTATTTATTAACAAACATTCCACTGCATTACAATAAGTATTTTATCCATCATTTTAATCATACATTGTTTCATATTTTCTAAAATTATTTCTATTTCTAATATAACAATATTATCTTACGTACCTTTGCAGAATCCCTTTTTCAATTAAATTTTCACCCATTATCTCTAAATAGGCTTATACTTTCAAACCTTATACATTTTCCCTGTTTCTCTATATCTTGTTTCTGTCTTTTATAACTTCTTTTCCTTTCCTTCTTCCCCCTCTTCTTCTCCCTCCCCTTTTTGCCCCCTTGTCTCTCTACTTCTAATTCTCTCTTCTGTGATTCTCTCTTCTGTTGCTTCCTAATATTGTAATTATTTTTCAAACTATTCTTTTTGGGTTGTTTTTTCAAATCTTAAACTTTTCACTCTCTTTCCCCCCTTTCGTTTTTCCCCCCACATAAAATTAACTTGATCATTAAAGATGCCTTCTTCTTTGTCCCAACCTTCTTGTTCTACAAGCGTTTCTTGTTGTTTCTCATAGTTCCAGATCTCCATTTCTAAAAATTGAAATACGAAGCCAAAAGAACCTCTTCCTTCTTGTGCATCTTCTTTCTGTTTTTTAAGTTCCATTTTCAGTTCTTCTAAAAGTGATGCCATTTGAAACACTTTTAAACAACCACCCAATTGATTTTAGTTATTTAAATCCAATATCCAAAAATCACCAAGTAATCCAAATAATCCAAAGCTGTTTCTCCTTCCTTTTCCCCCCCTCTTTTTCTTCCTGGGGTTCTGTTACAAAGTTTCAGTTGGAATGTATCTTTTAGGAATCTTGTTAAGGTTTCACTGTAAGTTCCTTTTAGTTCCAGGCAGTCTCCTCCATTTTTCCAGATCCTGTCCTTTTATTCTTTCCTTTTCTCTCCTTTCCTGCTTTTAAAGGTTTTTGAGTATCCAAAAGTCTTTATTATCCCTTTGACATTTTATTTTCAGCTTAAATGCCTATTGATGTCAAAGTGGATTTTTATCAATTTCTTACTTAAATCTCTTAGCTGTCAGTATAAGGAAGGGAAGAAAAAAAAGCCAAATCCTTTCCCTTCCCTCTCTCCTTTGCTGCTTCAAAGTCTTCTTTGGGAACAATGTTATTTTTTATATTTCAAATTCCAGGGTACCTTACGTTATTGCTTTTTCAGTTTAATCCAGTCAAGAAAATTTTTTTTATCTTCTTATCTTCCTCCTGCACATTCTTTTCTGGTTGAGTTCTTCTTTGAGGTGGCCATTTCTGACCACTGCTGCAACTCCCTTCAGGAAAGGGAGTAATGGCCAGCTGAGGAGGAGAAATGCAGCTCTCCTCGACCCTGCTGGTGGTCTCCCCCCTCTTCACCACCTCTATGGGATAGCTTAGCCCCAAATCCAGCTGGCTCGGGGCGCTCTGGTGGCGAGCACGGATCGAAACCACGCACGATCACAGATTTTGGTCCGTCGCCGAAGAAGCTCAAACCGGAAGTCAATACTGCTGATTTCTGATAGGGTAATCCTAATAATATTTTTCAGTTCTACTCGTTTGCTCAGAACAAATGATTAAGTTCAGGATTCTTTATTTTAAATTTATTTATTTATTTTAAACTTTTAGGGAAACGTAATAGTCCCAGATTTGAGAGATTGTGCGTAAAACTTGCAAGTCTTATCCAAGCAGCCCTGGAAATGGATCAGAGTCTGGATATCCCTCAAAGGCCATTCCTTTTCCCCTTACGTGACCAAGATCTTTGCTTCTATGGCCTTCTCTTGTAGGGATTCTTTCTCTAGGAAAAGGAAGATCCTTCAAGTATACGATCTGTGCTTTGTGCTGTGAGAGATGGCAAATGAGTGCCAGAGGTATTTCTTGCTGTCCCACTTATTTTTTTTCTTTTTCAAGTTGAGTACCTCATAATTTTGCACAGCAGGGACAAAATCCTTGTTTTTCTAAGAATGATCTTTGCCAAGCCTTTGCTCACCCAGAGTTGTTTTTCTGGTGTGGCTCCTGGCTTGAAGGGGAGTTATTCTAGTCTTACTAGAAGTGGATACCCAAGCAACTTTATCAAAAAGTCCCTGACCACTCAACCCAATACCGCACAACCAACACAAACCCTAAAAAGAATCAGACTGCCATACATCAAGAATATATCAGAAACCACAAATAGCCTGCTACAACCGCATAGAATCAGCATAGCACACAGGCCAACTAAAGCCCTTCAAAACATCCTAAACAAACCAAAAGACTCAGCAACCCCAGAAGAAAAAACAGGAGTCATCTATATACCAGGGGTCTCCAACCTTGGCAGCTTTAAGACATGCGGATTTCCAACTTCCTCAGCAAAGCTGGCTGATGAATTCTGGGAGTTGAAGTCCACAAGTCTTAAACTTGCCAAGTTTGGAGAGCCCTGATGTAGGCAGAAGACTGGCAGAATGCCTCCACGAATACCAACAATCAGAAGACATGACAGAAATTCTTTAATTTCGCAACATATAGACAGATTTAACCATAGTTTCAGTTGGGAAAAT